GCGAAGCGAGGGGGAGGAGGGAGACACCACACACACACAGTGGGGAAGGCAAGGCACGAAGAGGGGAAGGAGCCAGCCGGGGGAAGGAGGGCGAGAGGGCAGGCGGAGGCACAACGCGGAGGCAAGGGGGAAGAGAGAGGGAAGGACCCCGCAGGGCGGCCGACGGCCTGCCGGGGGGGGGGGGGGGGGGGGGGGGCAACGCACGCAGAGGAGGGGACGACGGCGACGGGAGAAGGCGAAGGGGCGAGGAGGACGGGAGGGGAAGCCAGGCACGCAGGCCACGGGGCGGCCGGGCCCGCACGGCGGGAGGCGCACGCGGAGGCCGTGCCTGGGGAATGGGGGGGGCGGCGGGGGGAGGAGGGGGACGACGCCGACGACGACGGGAGAAGGAAGGGGGCGAGGAGGACGGGAGAGGAAGGCAGACACACAGCAGCGGCAAGAGCGGCTGCTGGTAATTGCGGATTGCCCCCCGCGCGGGGACAGAACGCGCGCGGATGACCCCCCGCACGGAGAGCGGATCCCCCCGCCAAGGGGACTGAGAATAGGGCGCGCGCGCAGCACCTGCCAAGCTCATACTACGCAGTAGGCACGTGCGGAAGTGTGGCGCGGGGCGCTCGCAGCCCCAGACGTGCCCAAGCCACGCAGCACACGCGCGGAAATGGGACGCACGGGTGACCCCCCGCACGGGAAGCGGACTACCCCCCCGCAAACCGAGCAAGAGAACGCACCGATGACCCCCCAACCCCACGAAAGAGACTACGACAAGGGGCGCTCGCAGCCCCGGACACGCACACTGCACGCAATGCAAGCGCGGACGCGCGGCGCGCGGATGACCCCCCCCCGCGCGGGGGGGCGGGCTTTGGTAGTCCCCAAACGTGGTGGTGACAACACCTGGCGATGAGTCTCGGGCGATTTGGTGTCACCACCCGGTTTGGGGACTCGTGCGGTTTTCCGATGATGTCCCGGACACTGCTGGGTCCAGGAGTCACAAAACCCGGTGGTGACCCCGCGTCCCCAAACCCAGCGGTGACCTTTTTGGGGACTCCAGGTCGCCACCTGGTATCGCACCACCCGGTTTGGGGGTTCCCAAGGGCTGCCCTCCGCAAGTAGGGGGCCGGGAACGCGCGCTGGCAGCATCTGACGTCCCGGAGAGGAGGGAGCGGCGGGGAGAGGCGCAGACGGGAGAGACGAGGAAGGGAGGAGGCCCAGCAGCAGTGGATATCGCCATGCTGGGCTGGATTGTGACAGATGACGTGCGGACGACCTCTCGCACGGGGAGCGGACAACGCCCCGCCAAGGGGACTGAGAAAAGGGCGCTCGCGGCAAGTGACATCGGGGAGGGCGGGGGGGGAGCTGTCAAGAGAAGGGGACTACGACGACCGGAGAAAAGACGAGGAGGGCACACAGCGCGCGGTACACAACACAAGCCGCGAATCGACAAGCACACTGCACAAGACAAACGCCCACAGAAGCTCAGCACCCACACTGCCAGGAAGGATGCACGAGCACCTCCCTGGTATATGCACACAGACGGCTGAGAGCTACTCAAGATCCAGAGAGCGCAATGCGCAAACCCTAACTTACCTGACAGCCGGGAGCCCGAGGAGCGGAAGAGCGACGCCAAGCGGGAAGCCAGACAGCCCGAGGCCAGGGGCGGGAACGAGCGGAGAAGAGAGGGGGAACCGAACAGTGACAACTTCTCCTCGGCTGCTGCAGGAAATCTCATGAGGAACCTCGCGCGTCCGACGAGCACGAAGACCGAACTGCACTTGGCAAACTCGCATAACGAACCCGGGCCTTACCAACAAGTCGGCAACAGGAGAAGAAGCAACGCCATGAACCTAAACTTCTGGCGCTCCGCGCAGCTTTCTCGGATCTGCGCTGGACCCCCCTCCCTGGCGCGCAGGGCGCGCCAGGCCCAGAGCGGATCCTAGAAATCCGCGCGGAGCGCCGAAAGTTTCTGTTCGTGGCGTTTTTTCTTCGTCGAGACGAGGCAGTTTTTTGTTTTTCCCCAGCCCACGATATATTCGTTGTGTCTCTGTCTCCCGGAGCAAAATTTCACCACAAATGAGGAAAAAGACGCGACGGGAACAATCTAGGGCTCCCAACTTCGCGCTTCGCGCTGCGCGAAGCGCGAATAACTTCGCGCTCTCGCGCCGCCCTCCCAAAGGGAGAATAGGAGGACGAGGAGGAGGGGGAGAAGGAACGAGGACCGCGAAGCGCGAATAACTTCGCGCCCTCGAGGGAGCCCTTGAATGCCGAAGAACGAGGCCCGCCGGGGCCCGCGATTCGGGTGCTCTGCTGGCTGGGCCTGGCCCCCTCCCATCAGGTCCCCCCGGCCGCGCCGGCCCCGCAGCGGCCAGGCGCCCGCGCCCCGGGGGCGCCACGGGCTCCGCCCCCGCCAGGGGGGGGGTGCCTGGCAAGAGCAGGGGAGGAGAAGGGAGGAGAGGGGAGAAGGGGGAGGGAGGAGGAGGAAGGGAAGGAGGAGGAGGAGGAGGAG